GCACCAAAATGTGGGGTATAGATATATAAGCTTCGCGTTGTGTCTTGTTTCTATATTTTAATATCTCAATGATATACAAGTAAAGCGGTAGTGACGTTGGTATATACGTTGACGTCATCTTGATTCCTGCCGTCAATACGTCGCTGTTGTTCCCGTCTGTAATTTCTCACTAGTTCGTCACGGCACCAAAATGTGGGGTGTAGATATATAAGCTTCGCGTTGTGTCTTGTTTCTATCTTTTAATATCTCAATGATATACAAGTAAAGCGGTAGTGACGTTGGTATATACGTTGACGTCATCTTGATTCCCGCCGTCAATACGTCGTTGTTGTTCCCGCCTACACATAGCGTACGTCTTCCCGACAACGCGATTGTACGATATATACCAACAGGACTGGAATGCAAGTTTACAGGAATCATCAAGAGCATTGTTTTACAGAACAATTTCTAGTTTTAATTTTCAGAATTACTTAAATGTTTTAACTGTAGAAAAACATAGAAAGTCAATGTCTAGATTGAGAAAGTCATCCCGTAGGAAATAAATTGAAACAGTTAGATGGAGAAAACCTAAAAGCACACCAAGAGAACAAAGAAAATGTTAATTTTGCAATGTACTAGAGGATGAATTTCATTTCATTATTGAGTGTACACATTACTGATCTCAGGCGTCAGTATATAAATAGAAATTACTGGGTTCATCCAAATAATATTAAAGGAACTTCACTGAGGTTTTTTGACATAGCGGGACTGGAAATAATTTTTTGAGATTATTACTCTATTTCATGAAGATCTATACAAATAACTTATGTGCAAAATTTTAGATCATTACCTCCCTCCGTTTTATCAGAATAATTATTATAATAGTGAAAATTGACCCAAAATTGAAAAGCGTTAAAACACTTTTCACTCAAATCGGACTGAGAGTAGCACAAACTAAAATTTTCAATGCATTTCTTGAATATTTCTTAGTAATATTTATATTTCTGTTTTAAGTGCTCATGTTGATCTGTATGAAAAAATACAATTTTATATTTTTAGCCTTACAAACCTCAGTGGAGTTCTTTTAAATGTGTAGGATTGATAAATATCACAAAGGTAGTCGACATAAAGAAGTAAGCAGCTTATATTTACTATGCATTTGAAAAAAGAGCATTGCTGCTGTCAACAATTTAGATATATGTTTAAATGTTAATGAAGAAGTGCACACATGTGGTTATAATATTATACTTACTATGTTTACATGTTTGCTATAAATAGATGCTTTGTCTCTCCCTACATGTATGTTAGTATAGAAATGAAATGTGATTGGTATAAATCTGCTATTGATATATGATTACCTTTATCCAGTACAATATAGTTAACACCTATATATATTTTTTTCAACATTGAAAGTTATATTGCTGTATGTACATGGGCCATAGATGGCTTACTACTTAATAAAAATATATTTCTATTTCAAGTTCCCCAGTTGATCTCTGTAAAATTTTATATTTTTGGGACCTCAATGGAACTTTAAATGTTCAGAGCATAAAATTCTAATAATAAAAAAATCATTCTTTAAATTAAATATAGTGTTGTTTGAAAATCATTTATAACAAAGGTTGAAGAGAAGTTACTGCAAAATCATTATGATTACTAAATGTTATGCTTTTTCGTGGAAAATCATAAAAAATATCCAAATGAAATCATGTTTCGTCTGCAGTAAGATTACTTTGCACAACCTGATTTGCATTTTACTTTGTTTTGCTAAATACATCCATTCCACAGATTAAAACACCCATGAAAATTTCTTTTTCGACAAAACCATGGTATTTCATGCCCATGAAACTATTATTCACAGTAATATCAAGAGTAACTTCAACACTTACCAATGAAGGTACTGGAAAATATATGTTATATTTCCTCATCCAGGTCTGCTTAAAGAAAAAAAAACAGTCCTTTCATTTGTGGCGCGCTTGAACAATCACTATTTATGTGCCAATTATACACATTATTTGACAATTTCATTTGAAATCACCCTTCTAAATTCTGCTACAAAGTTGTTCAGAGTCAACTTAATGATTTTGAAAATAATTAGGGGGGGGGTTATTCCCCAAACATTTCAAGATAGTGGGGAATTATTAAAATACTAGTAGTGAGAAATTTAATTAACACTTTAATCAACCAAAATTTACAAACACAATCATTCTCAATCATTTGAAATTAAAAATGTGTTTTCTTATTTTTCTTTCCTTCGTGCAATTTATTTAAAAATCCATCCAAGAATGACAGTGATTGACGGGACTAAAAACAGACAGACAGACAGACCTACATGTATTAACTGACTTAACGTGTACAGATTTTTGTGATCTTCATTATTTTTTTCATAATTTAAAAGCACTTAATGCCCCCAATAACCAATGATTCATTCTAAAGGTCAGGCGTATACAGAACTAATCTCACGCAAACTTGGAAATCGTCAAATATACCTTACTGGCACACGAGGACGCTCGGACAGATGGACAAACATGTACCTTCAGGGCGATAAAAACTAATTAAAAAAACATTGCAATAGGTTAAAAGAACATTTTTGTATGATTGAAAGTATGAAAATAACATCTGAATGACAAACGCAAATATGATTCTCATTTAGTTTGGTATATATTTCACCATTTTGCACCATAAAAGTTGTAGTTTTAATAGATGCTACTCTAAATTTCCCCTAGTAAGTCTTAATTAGTATCACTGCACTTATATTTATTAAAAGGAAAGAAAACAAGCCTAGTAAAAAGCCTTGCGCGTGTTGACGTTACCTTTTTTTACTAGTATACAGAAACAAAGGAAATTATCAGGCATTTTTAAATCCAAGATGGCTGCCGCATTAAATTTATCTTTTTCCCATTTATTCTTCTCGTTTACTCTTTTGCCGACTGAAATAAGCAAAACCTGAAATTTAAATTCAAAAGATGTGTTTAATCTTGCGTTTGGGAGAATTAAAGTAAAAATTAAAAATAGAAAAAATGGCGGCCATTTTGAATTTAATTTTTCAAAGATCAAGGACTAGAAATAAAGTCGTGGTAGAGCAAAACATAAATTAAGCGTACTGGAAATAGGTCAGATTGAACTAATCAAAGCACAGAAGGCGCTGAATTTGTTTGGGTCTCAGCATGTCAGAAAGGTGACAGTTGTGAGATTTAAAACCAATTTGTTGTTGTATAGTGCCATTAATGTTTTTTCCAGTGTTATTACTGTAGTTCATTGGTTATGAGACTTATTGCAACATTGATATTCAATTCAATGTTTATTTGGCCTAAACAATTAAATAAAAAACAAAACAAAAAACATGTGTTGCCTTAACTTGGATTTGAACCACATACCTCTCGCTTCCTTTACGAGCACGTAATCCCTGAACCACAATGAATATATCAGAAAACAGCCTGAAGCAAACCATATTGTTCAAAATTAGGGTTTGTAATCCTTATTAATTTCGTAGTATGTATATCTGTCATTGAGTCAACATCCTTACTTTATTTTTAACAGATGTTCATTTAGGCGACCGCAATAATCCGAAGCTTTACAGAAATAGCCGAGCAATTTGCATTGATTAAAATGATATTCATGCGCGTAACAAAATTATTTGAATATATTACGGGTGTTTAAAATTACACAATATTAAAAATCTTCGACCAATCGGGAACTATTTTTTCTTCCCTGAGAAGGCTTGAAAACTTATGCGCCTGTCATTTGACAATATTTACGCAGTGAATTCTCCTTAATTTTTCGTCGTTAGTGTACGTATAAAATGAGCTAAATAAAGATGATACATAAAGCGCTTGAAACGTTATATGATTCCATGGGACTTTTCGATATAGGGAAGGATATCAATGCATGTCAGGAAAAAAATGTACCACCCGCTTACAGCCGTTATAAAAAATCCTTCATATATAATATATGAAACATTTGTAACTGTATATGACAACTGTCTTTAATATTGTTTATGAACACTTTATGATTATAATTATGTTTAAGGTTATAAACAAGTAAACAACTCTGTGAAATAAGTAAATAGTTTCAAGTAAGATTTTTTCTCACATTACATGCCCCTCTCTTTCCATCGCTCTTATGTCCACTCCAGGTTTTTGTTTGGTGCCTTCTGTGTGCCCTACTTTGATGTGTCGGGGAGCTGCGTCCTGTGAACGTTGCCTTTACTTTGTTGACCTTTATTCTTGTTTTTATCAGAATATAGGAATAGGAACGAAAATGAGAAAAAATAAGTCTTACTTCTATCCGCCATAATACATGCATTTACGTTAGCAAAATAAAAGATAAAGAGTTACAAACTTTTGAGGTGTGTACAATTGTAAGTCTTATTTGTGCTTCAAGTGTTATTTTGCACAATTAAGACTATCTTGAAACAAAATGAGTAAGCGAATGACTTGAAACTTTGCACAAAAGCTATTGATCCGGACATAAAAATTCGTTTTCTTTGTCAAAATTTTACTTTAAAAATTAATCGGACGAGATATATTGTTTGTTATACGTAGTTGTCTCAAAATATTACGTATGTTCATGCAATTGATAAGATACTCGAAAACATCTTAGGCCTCTAAATATATGGTGAACAACTATTTGAGCATGCTTCATTTGAAATCGCGTGATACTGCCGAGAACATTTCCACACTCATAAAAAATGAAGATAATTTTTGTAAGTGCACTTATAATCTGTGGATGTTTCACATGTGTTTAAACAAACGGTGTTTGCATATGATTTTTACATGTTAGGGAACCTTGTGAAACATGTTGAGAAAAGGATACAATCTTTGAGAGAGAACGTCAAAGGTTGGATTTATAACTAATTATTAAAAGTTCTATTGAAAAAAAAACTTTAAGAATAGTCCGCAAACATTTTAATCTTTATTTATATATAAAAATAAACCTAAAGATGAATTGATACAAAATAAATTAATTTATGAATTCTAAGTTATTTTTTTCTATATACATTCCACTGATTTTATTTATAGAAGAGATAAAATTGAAATGTCCCGCGGCGCCATGTCCTGACAGCTCATGCGGTGATGAATGGGTTTCCTACAACAACTACTGCTACTATTTTGAGAATATCAATACAGCAACATTTGAAGAAGCAAGGGCAAGTATCATAGCTATAAACTGAAATGTCTTGTTTCACTTCAACCAATACTTTATGGCTCATAATTAAATACACTGTTTTAATAGAATTTCTAGACAAAAAAAACACGCACTTTTTATGTTAGTACAAAATAACAAAAGCAAAATTCCTCGTAAATACTATATTCTATACTCACAGAATAGGAACAGTACAGTATTTAACAATTATTTTCAAATGCTTTAATCTTTCAGCTATTCTGCAAGCAAAAGTCTTCTAACCTTTTGTACGTTGAAGACAATGACGAAAACTCATTCATCCTAAGAATGCTCGGTCGTTTTAAACGTGAGAAATATATTTTCTTTAATTTAATACAATATAATCATAGCTTTTTAAATGTCTTCTCATAATACTCGTTAAACGATTTTTAATTTCTGGTTTTATATCATTAGAATAAATCGAACACATGAACTTACATTAACATGCATGAGAATTGTTAAAAACCATGAATGTTTGATCCATATCATAAGATTATATTCAAATAAAACAATAGTAGGAAGCATCGTTTGGTAGACACAGTTGTTACAAATTACGTAAAGGTACGTTTTTGTATGCTATGAAAATTTAGTAAATTGTAATCAAATATATAAGATTAAACGATGATTAATTCACTCATTTACTAATGGTATTTAATGGTAATTAATTAATTAATTACATTAATTAATGGAATCAACTACAGACAGCTAATAGACTTTATTATTATAATATCTAGTATATATGTTTTAACAATTATTGATAAATAGCAAGCTACAGCTGGTTGATTGGGTTAACTGACCAAAGTACAGAAGGTATTTGGAAATGGATAGACATAAATGCACCGGCAAGATTTATTAAATGGGCACCCGGTAAGTGAAATTTACCGAGTAAGTTTTATTTTCTACAGAAAAAAAACTTATGATTTGTCTCAGATAAAATGTTTTCAAATTTGTTTATAAACAATTACACAAACAACGATTGTTTATTTTTAGACAATACCTATTACAAGTTTCAAGTTTCAAGAGTTTATTCAGCATAAACATACAATATGTTCATTGCCATACATATGATATAATGTGCATGTAATATGACAAGAAAACAAACAAACAAACAAACAACAAAAATAAAATACATTTGGTAACAATGAGAATAACCCAAACAAACACACACACACACACCCACAAAAAATATTTTTGAGAAAAGTGTAAAGAAATAGTAATTATTCAATATGTATTTAAACAGTCAGATTTATTGATTATACGTATCTCGTTTACATGTAGCTAGGTATAAATACTTTGCCAGTTTATTTATAATACTTTTTTGGCAAGATGTCATAATATTCTAAATTTCTGGATACTAGGCCAAGAACAGTAATAATTAGGAAGGCAACGATATCTTATTTCTCTATAAAAGGGACACACTAATAGAAAATGATACTCATTTTCAACAACATTCATGTTACAAGGTAAACAGATTCGTTCAGATCTTGGAATATTCCTGTGTCTACCTTCCTCTATCAGTAATTTGTGAGCAGAACATCTAAATCGACATAAAGTAGTACGATAATTTAAATTACTAACACACAACAAATATTTTTCCGCAACATGTTCATTTTTAAATATGCAATAAGTTTCTAATTTAGGTAAACTGTTGATTTCACTTTGCCATTGTTGTAAGTATTGATCTTTTATTCGTGCTATTAAAATATTAAGTTGATCATTTGTAATATTTTGATTATTCAATAAAAACGGAAAACCTAACTCATTCAACAAATCTCGTACATCACTGGACCACTTGTTTAATAAAACATCATAATCATTTCTCATACTATAAATTCTATAAATATGTTTGTCGTTATTCTTAAGAATTCTGTACCAAAATTTCAATATCCTTATCTTTCTATATACAATTAATGGAAATCTTCCTAATTCTCCATACACTGTTGTATTTGCAGTTTGTTGCCTTACACCTAACAACTGTTTCAAAAATTTCAAATGTACTCTTTCAATGTCAGGGGCTTTATGTAGCCCCCATATTTCTGATCCATAATTTAATATAGGTAATATCATGGTATCAAATAATTTTAATTTATCTGGTATCTCAAAATTAACTTTATCAAATAATGCATTTAAAGAAAACAAAGCTTTAAAAGCTTGATTAGCAAGCGATTTTTGTGCTTGATAAAAACGACCAGAAAGCGTCACACCTAAGTATGTAAAAGTTCTCACAACTTCTAGTTTTTCACTATCATAGAATATATCATAATCTTGAGTTCTGTTTCCAGATTTACAAACCATGACTACAGTTTTATCAGTATTAAAAGTAATATTCCATGCTTTACAATACATGTTCATGTTATTTAACAAATTTTGTAGACCTTCAACAGTATATGAAAATAAAAGAGTGTCGTCAGCAAATAATAACATAAACATCTGTATTTCATCTAGACTGAAAATATCATCAGATTGAGTCAACATACAATTATACATATCATTTATGAAAAATAAAAACATAAGAGGAGACAATGGCTCTCCTTGTTTCACGCCCATAAAAGTTTGGAAATCATCTGTCAAAGAACCATTCACCCTTATACATGATCTAACGTTGTCATACATAATTCGTAACATGTTAACTATTTTTGAAGAAGCTCCATTTGTTATAAGTTTATACCAAACACCGTCCCTGTAAACAGCATCAAACGCCTTTTTAAAATCAATAAAAGCTAAAAACAGCTTCTTTTTTTCATTGTGTAATATTTTGTTTATGATAGAATTTAAAAACAAAAAATACAATCTATTGTACTTCTTCCTTTACGGAATCCAAATTGAACATCTGTCAATAAATTATTACTATCAGCCCATTTCCTTAATCTATTATCTAATAAAATTGAGAAAATTTCAGCAAAAACGCTTGTAAGTATTATCCCTCTATAATTATTTACATCATTTAAGTCTCCCTTTTTAGGTACTGGCACAATAATTCCTTTAGTCCAACTTATAGGATATATACAATTTGAATACATATAATTAAACAATTTACAAATCACTGGTGCTAAAAATTGCTTACATTCTAAAAAATATTTCAGGTATAAGTAAATCTTCACCAGCACTTTTACCTCTTTTAAGTGAAGATATAGCATGATCAACTTCTTCTACACTAAAATCCTTATCCAGCTCATAAACAACATTAGAGTTAAAGTTATCATCACTTAAAATTCGCCTCTACATTTTTCATTCATTAAAAATATCACTACTCGTAAATAATTCTTTAAATGATTAAAAAAATCATCTTTTACTTAACGTACTACTGTTTTTATTATAAGATTTTAGCTTCTTTATTTCAGACCAAAATTTTTGTGGTTGTTTTTTCGATAGCTCGTGCAATTTATGTTTTTTGGTCTTGCTTGTACTTTGATATTGCTTTTCGCTTAGATTGTTTTATATCTTCTTCTGTTGATAATCAATAAATTAACATTTTCAGATGATTTATCATATCTATATTTTCTTTTAGCTAACCTCAATTCGCGTCGAGCATTTTCACAGTCTTCATTAAACCACGGGCTTTTGAAAATTTCCTTTCACTCTTTCTATCTGCATCTTTATAAATATGCTTATTTGAACCAAAAATAGAAAAGGCTTTATCATAAAGAATACTTGACAAGTCACTTATTCCACTATCTAGGTCAATATCTGACGAAATAATACTATCGACAATATTACCAATTACGGCATTTCCCTTGACATAATATTCTTATAATCTATCAACTTTTCTTCTTTTAAAACGAAGTTTACAAACATTTGCACTAATAACATTATTACATAAAACATTTTCACACAATACATCAAAACTTATCTGTATAGGCGCATGTGTTGAGCATGTATAAACATCGTGGACAATAAATTCAGAAATAAAAGGAAATAACTCGTAAGAGCATATAACGTAATCAATCAAACTATTTCCATTCGAACTCATATTGGTAAAACCACCAATCCCAGCGTCGTCACCACAACGCCCATTTACAATTTAAAAGTGAGCTACTTCTACATATATCTAATAATTTTATACCCGAGTATTGACAGTTTCATCCATAGAAAATCTATGAGGAAAATTCGATTCATTAATACAATATTCATTTTCATCTAACACATGTATAAATCTATCAAAATCTGTACAGTTTTTTGTAAAATATCAGACCTTTTTCCGCATCTTGAATTCAAATCGCCAATTATCGACACGGTACCTAATTCCGTATATTTTCGAATGTTTAATTCAAGTGACTCAAAAAAACCAATTTCATGCAAATTATAATATATAGAGTTACTGGGTGGTATATAAAGAAAACAAACATACATATCTTGTAATAATCGAAAAAAATGCTTGCAAGATTTAACCCATATTATACCTGAGTAATCTATTTCACTTATACTTATTCCATCCTTATATATTTCTTTATAAAACAAACAAATATAATACAATAAGTGTCTTTATTACGCTGCCAAGTTTCAGAAAAAAATAAAACATCAAAATTTGTCACAAAATTCAAAAAGTCTTCATCACTCAAACAGTTTTTCAATCCTTCTACATTCCAGGAAACAATGTTCAAATCACACTTTTCTCCGTGACCCTAGCTTAATCCTTTTGTGTTGATGCTGGTTCCTGGCTTGAACAGCTTGTTGTCGATGAACAGCTTGTCTCGTACAAGTACCGCCCTTTTTCCCGCTCCTCGTGCCTTGGGGATCATTGATGCCAGCACTGTTAAGTGTTGAGAATTGAGTACCGCTCAAGCCGGTGCTAGGGGGCGTGAGGGATGTTGCACTCATTCATTATCCCTCATGTACAGACTCAATCAAACCGAGTCTGCAATTCTCTTGTAATTTTGTTGTGATTAATGCTTCCGAGGGATCACTTTGTTTCCAGAATATTGTGCTTCACAACAGCAGGTGTCAAGTGCTGTGTGGCAGCTGTAAAAAGTTGCCCCGTACTTCACTTCAGTGTTGTTATATTTTCTGGTCCTTCGGGATCATTGATGCCAGCACTATTAAGTGTTGAGAATTGAGTACCGCTCAAGCCGGTGCTAGGGGGCGTGAGGGATGTTGCACTCATTCATTATCCCTCATGTACAGACTCAATCAAACCGAGTCTGCAATTCTCTTGTAATTTTGTTGTGATTAATGCTTCCGAGGGATCACTTTGTTTCCAGAATATTGATCATTTCCAGGGTATTAGAGTGCGTCGTCTGTCCATGACCTCTTGTGGGAACTGATCTGAAACATTAAAGGGAGAATTGCGCAGATTTACTTTTCTAAGTTGTTGTTTAAGCATGAATTTAGAGTCTTTGTCTTTAAACCGGACAACAATAGGTCGAATTTTTCCAGGTGTAAAAGCTCCGATCCTATGGGCTACATCTACAGCTATTTTGGTTTCCGGTCCAGATATATTCAAAACTTGTGAGCAAAAGTCATACACTTTATTTAGTTCTCAGTAACCGGTTTATTTGGTAGAAAAGGTGTGCTATTATTGAATGTTGAATGGTCAGTAACTAGGTCATTACTGTCTGTGTTTGATACCTATCCTGAAACGATTTCTGATATAAGGGGACTCGGTCTCTCCAGTGTGCTATCATCACTGTCCATGTAGTTCTGTGAAGCTGTAGCTGATTTCGCGCCTTCTGGAATGCCAAAAAACAACATATTTAAACTCATGGATCTACATTTAATGTCAATCATGTCCTCAACCATTGAATCATTACTCAATTTCATCTGTAAATTGTCATTCTCTAACACGTGAAAATCGTGCTTTAACTTAGCAATATCATCTCTGTTTGTGTTTGTACAAGAAGATAACGTGTCATATTGGTCACTTATAAATTTCTGACTATTTTCAATCTGTTCGATCTTTTGATCCATACTATTAAGCCCGTACCGTTTATAGCGTCCACTGATGATTGAATGGAATTCAGTTGACCCAGTTTAGTGTCCATTTTTCTCGAGCCGAAATAAAATATTTTGAAGGACATCCCCCTGATTATTCTGCTGGGAATGCAATGGCGAAACTGGACTTAGATTCGTGTACGTCGGAGAGTAAGGATAGACTGGGGGAGCTATATAGATATTAGTTCCTGCAACATTGTTCAAGTGAGATTGCGATCCAGTATTTTGATTTGGGGTTTGTGGATACATTTGTTGACTAGACGCCATCTTTGTTGACTTTTTTACCTGACCGCTTTCTGTTGTTGGCGAGATTATGTCTTTTTTTTCTCTTTCTTCCCATTACATACTCACGCAAATTTCAGTGGTAGCTCGTGTGGTATCTTGTATGACAGATAAATCAAATTCAGATCGTGTTATTCGCTAAAACCATAGAATATGTATTTATTTTCCTCGGCTCAAAATTTTCAACCGCCATATTACACGCATGCGCACAAAACATAACAAATTCTGTTTTAATTACACGGTTTAATTATTTTTTTGACCTTTAGATCAGCCGCAGGGCCATACGGGTGAAAATTGCGTTGGGTTTTTTCAAAGCGATAGTTATCAGTGGCATGACATACCATGTGCAAGTAAATATTCATTTATTTGCAAAAAAGGTCAGTATGATTTTCACACAAAATTTTAAAAAAAGATTTAGTATAATTAAATCATTATACAAAACAATGAAACAAAAATCTCTAGTATAGAGAATGCCGACGTGTTTTATTTGGCATGTACAAAAATCACAATAAAGACATATTACGTTATGCTTAAATTTATTGGAAACCACTTCTTGATTAAATTTTGATACTTTGAAGGAAATTGAAACGTTATTAGATGTTTGAAATTTTACATACAAAACATTTGATATCAAATAGGAAACAAGAATATAAATATTGCTTTCAGTAAATTTTGAAAGAATAAAACGTTCATACAGTGCGAACTATAAAAAAAATTTCTCAATTATATTCATTTTATGCGACATTATATGCATTTATAACGATTAAAATAATGTGTGTTATGTTTTCTTTCAGAGAAATCCCTATGAATGTTGAATGAGACTACAGGTATTGGCGCCGATTATATACATGAATATTACATTCTTTGAATAGCTGTAGAAAGATGCTTATGTATGTTGAGTGACTCTATAAACATTGACATCGATGATATGCATGTATGAATATTACATTCTTTAAGGTGACAACGGAGTCAATTATCACTGAAAATACCTAAAATGAGATTTTTTGCTTAGTAGATTTATCAACCTTTTCTGAACACATCCGTGATTTAATTTTGGAAGCAGCTAGTCCAAAAAATGTGTTTTTAAACGTTTTAAAACGGTACCTGTACATTTTTATCTGCTATTCGCGTAACCTGTCAATTATCGATAACGCTCCGCCCCCTGTTGAGGCATCAATGAGGGAAATCGGTAGTTCCATGTATGCGTGAATTACCGGTCCAAACTCGAACATACTACTCGTAATTCATGTTTCTACCGTACATCTTTTATGAATATCGTCAACCTTTTATTTAGCCCTTTTTATAAAATAAGAAATTGTCGGCCAATGTACATAACGTAATGTATGAAACAAAAATAATTAAGCACAGCGACCACGGGGTTGATTAAAAATATAGTTGCTAAAATATCCATAATGTGTGAAAATAATCTGTCTGTCCCGTTAATCTGATAGATATTACATTGAGTTTATGGACTTTTGTGCGGATTTAAGGGCTTGCTTTACATTCAACCTCGTTTTCTAACAATGTCAAGTAAAACAACAACAAAAACAGACAGCATTTTTTTATGTGAACGCCTATATGACTTGTGGTAAGGTGTCCCTGACAAATTTCTATATCATTTTAGGTTGTCTAAGGATGATTATTTCTCTATGAATCAATAAAAAAGATAATAAGATATATTATCAGTGTATGCTTTGAATAAATTGTTCGCCAGTAAATCGAACACAGTACTAATAAACCTGGGACAAAGTATGAAATTTATTGTATATCCCAGTATAAATTGGATCTCTTTGCCGTGCTTAGATGATATTCAAGATAACAGAAGTCAAGAAGGTCAGATCATAATGATCGAGTGATATCTTTTATTTCTATTAAAATATGTGAAGCATTTATATCAATTTAGAGGGAAAAATATATAATATCCCGTTCTTATTTGTACATCTACCATGGACTTTAAAAGACCGTCAGAAGCTCAGTTTTTTGTTATTTCAATTTATATTTTAACGGAATTTCATACACGAATACACAGACAGAGTTACACTGGTAAAATATAATAATAATGCTGATGATAATAATAATAATAAACTTCAAAAGTGAAACAATTAAATACCCCGCTAGCGGTGCAAAAATACGTTCCATTTCCCCCACCGAGTGCCTCAAATTTTACCGAAAGTCACGTGACATGTGCGACTGACGGTAATTCACGTTAAGATTTGAAGAAATTTCTGTTATAAACTGATATAAATCAGCAACTTTTTAATTGGTCGGATGTCACTGGGTCATAAAATGTTGTTAGAGTATGTTACCGCAACGTGTGACCCTCTCTGGTGCGATATTTGTGTATTATGCAATTATTTAGCGTGAAACGTAGGGGTCCGAGAGAGAACAGCCGATTTATGACACTTCGTTTGATGCGGGTCGGACTAACTTTGAATCGGCATAACTTTTTTAATAATCAAGCAATTAACATGCAGTTTAAAGCACATGAAAGGGAATTCATGTACGGAGGGAACCGTGTCAGGGATTTTCGTTTGCTAAATCAGCGACTTAATTATCTTTAATTACGTAATATGTATGGTGAAAAAAGTCGCATAAAATGTTTGAGAAAAGTTAGAAAAAAATTTGAGACACCGTTCCCCAGATATTATAAGTATGTTTATTTTCCAAAAGTTTGATGACAAAAAAAATAAAAAAAAGACTTTGATATGACGATTTAAAATTTAAGGATTTTTATTAAAAATCAATCATTTACAAAGGCATTTTTTCAAATATGTTATTTTTTATGACGATCAACGACATTTAATGCACGAAGATTAAATAAATAACAATTATTACTAAAATAAGTTGGTTTAAATGACATTTATGTGAGTACCACTGAAAGTGTCTGTTGTCACCTTAAATAGCTATAGAAAATCGCTATGAATGTTGACTGACTCTACAAACATTGATGCCTTTCACACCTTAAATAACTAAAGATGAGAACGTCTCTGCTGTGTTTATATACACGTATATCATAAAATATAGTCAAACTTCGCTTAAACTTGGATGGCCTGTGTCAATTTTTTCCGAGAGATCGGTAGTTCGAGCCAACCGAGCCTGAGCTATAATCATTTATCATATCATATTTAAGCAGTACAAAGGTCTGAAGGTTTTCCAGCTTGCATCGGTCAAATAATGAATAAGTCAACAGAGTCGTTTGTTAGTACATCAGTTTCGAATATATAATTTTTTTAAATATAAAGAATTATTGCCGAAAAATACATACCAATGTTTTCACATAATCATTTTTCTAAAAATGTCTCTTTTTAAAGGAACACATTATAATAAAAACAACATATATAATTAACTTATTTTATTTATATTTGGCATAGATTTTCCGTCATGACTGGTCATTAAGTGAAATAAAGTAAATAGAATTTGACTCTTTAATATATAATTGAATATTCTAAAATAGGGTTTGCTTCGTCATCGATTGCAAAAACCTGTAATTTTATGTTACATTATCGCCTTATTTATGGGTATATGAGAAGATATTGGAAAAAGTATAATACCATGTATATGAATTTTAATATTATATGACTAAAGCTCATATGACTGATTTTGCTCCGCACAGTCGGAAGTGACATAAATTGCACCGGATATCTGAAACTTAATATGTTAATTCGTATATAATTAATTAAAATTATATTTTGAAAGAGAAAACGTACTGACAAATGGCAGATATGAACTCCGGATCGCGGTAGTTTATAAATTATGTTTTTATAGATATGATCAATAAAAATAAGTTACGTTATAAGATACTGTCATGATTTTATATATCAGAAAAATAGGATATACATTTATCAAGCATATCATGATTAAAACTGCCATAGAAAGTCTAGGATATTTCAAACCAGAACAATTACTCAAAAGGTTCAATCAATTATTCGTCTTAGGAATACTGACCGCCTACGTAAACCCCTTTTTGTTTTCTAAATTTAAGAGGAAACGTAGAATCCGTTGACACATTCTCAGGCTATTCCTCGGAATATAGAACAAAGAACCGTGCTCAGATATGCCGATAAATATATAAAATACATACAGCTCAAAAAAGAGAAACGTTCTGTTGAAGCAAAATATTCTTTTGATGCAAAAGTACAATGTACGGTAATATTTAATGTAGGTTTGCTTGAAACCATGTATAATAATGTATAAACAACAATCCGTAAATTAATACATTTTTAGATATGTTAAAATGTGTTTTATTAATACATTGATTAAGTTCATTATGGCATCTGAAAACAGTGTTTTGTTTTGTATCGCCATCGGTTGCAGGTTATCTTATGATAATTCTACAAAAATTCGAAAGTCACACATTGTTGTAATTGCATCCTAATGGTGTTCGAAATGAAAGTGTTTTGTTTGTATACATGCCAGTTATAAATGTGTGTTTTGAAAAGTCGTTGGATTCAAATGACATGGGTCTGGCAGTTGACGTTGGTAAACTTTCGCTTGTCGCAAAACCAATATTTACTGTAGAAATGACTACACCAGCCATGACGAAGAAGGGATTAGTACCTAGGCGGCCATTATTACCTGAAAGCCGATAAAAACGAGACAACAACAAGGCAAATGGGAAGGTCGGGTGGGTAATTTCCGTGTTGGTTCAGGGCAGCATCAGGAGCTTGGAGACTGGATCGAAAAGGAATTAACAGAAGCGTGCTCGGTTTATATACCCAGTCTACTAAGCATGCGCAACGACATTGAATGACTTGTTAGGAGGAAGAGCCAGATATACTGGTCGTTGCAAAAAACTGTGACGTATTGTGTACAAATAATTTAGTTTAAGCTCTGAATAGTATTAACGGAACTGTGTTAATCTATAGTCCTGCATATTGTAATTGGTTGCGTTCGAATGGGTAGTCATTTTCTAAAAATTGCTGAACAATGTTTAAATATTTTACAAGTTTCTGATGGGTTCACTATTATTTTAAACAACGCATTTATATAAAAAATAGAATAGCATTTTACAGCAGCATTGATTTGTAGTCATTTACTAAAATGAATACGTTGTATAAAACAACATATTATGTTCGCAAGATGATCGCATATTGATATGATTTTATTCAACTCGTTCAATAAATTTAGTAATATACCTACACTTATTCGATATCCTCAGTATATTTCGTCATTGCCATCAGGATACTTTAATACACATATTAGCTCGAATTTTCTGACAAAAAGGAGCTATTGCTACAGCCGTGTTGGCGTGGCGCAGCCGTTGCTGTTGCCGTTTCCGTCCGAAACTTTAACGTGTTTTTTATATTTCTCAAGGGATTGTTCAAACTTGGACACAACAATTCTTTGGACAGGACCTTCAAGTACACCAGACTGAACTTAACATTCTCTCATAAATGAACTTCACCCTGAATTTTTCTTTTATTTTTAGCTATAATTGGCTGTGAATTTGTTATTTATGAATGGAATATCTTCAATCTACACGTAGGACAAAATTTACATGACTTTTAAATTGATTATTTAACAATGACCATGACTTTGATGGATGAATTCTTGAGTTTTGCTTGTTTTGTTTTCTATTGCCTGTTAATGTGTTGAATTGACTGTCTACAAACGTGGACACAACGATTGTAAGGACAAGGCCATTTTGCAGACCAAATTGATAATGACTTTAATTCATAAAAGACCTTGACAATAAAGGTCAAATCATTGAAGTTGGTTTGATTCTGATACTATTATTGGTTAAGTTCTTGTTATTTATGAATGGAATTTCTTAAAAGTAAAACATATCTACCGTAAGAATAATGTCCTAAAATACCTCCAATACAATTTGACATAGAGTTGTAATGACCATAACCTTAAAGGTCAAATTATTGTAATTTCACTGTTTTTGCTATGATAGACCCATAGACTTATAACTTAATTTTCTTTATACTTTGGCACGGCAATCTATGGGGCAAGACATAAAAAAAGATTAAATTGAACCTGACATTTATTTTACATTGACACTGAAGGTCATATCTTTGCTATTTATTCATAGATTTGACTTTAGCACGTAATGCTTATAACGGCACTGATATGTCAAGTAATTCAAATATGACATTGACATTATATGACCTCGACTTTCAAGGCCAAATATTCAATTTAGCTTAGATGGTCATAGCTGTATAATTTATTTATGGATTTGATTTATACTTTGGACAAAAAATCAAGACAACACCGACATGTTGAATTATTCTGACATTGACATTTTATTGACTTTCGAGAACAAATTTTTGGTGTTAGCTTTTACAGTCAACTATCGTTATCTCGACATCGCTTTTCTCGATATTTCGTTATCTCGATGAAATTTTGAAAGTCCCGATTTTCTTCCTTCTTTATCTATATTGGAAATATTTGTTTATCTCGATGTTTTTATTTCGATATTTTATCTCGATATAAAATTTAAGAGATAACGAGAGTCGACTGTAGTTTTGTTATAGTTTTGTAATTTATTTATGGATCTGGCTTTTTCTCCTTACAAAACTGATAACGATGAGTAATTCAAATGTGACATTGACAATTTCCTATTGTTTCAACTAATAAGAAGCGTCACATAATTGTCACTTAACCGATTTTTGAGTGTTTGCATCGAGTGGTATAAAAATAAATGTTTCATGAGTGCTAACACAGCCAGGAACGAAATAGGATAACTTTCAAGCAAAAAGATAAAAACAAATCCTGTATTTATAGCAAAAAAATCTTGAATTTTCTGTTTATTATATACATGTTTCTCTCTTTTTTTTGCATTCTTTCTTTTTTAAAACTTACAATCTAAAAGGATTTCTTTTAAATTTTGAGTATTGGCTGAATTTAGAAGAAAATAGCCCAGCCGGACACCAGTGAAAATACTGAATATGCAGTGAAAAAAATTTTTTTTACAGTATAACAACAGAAAATGGAAAGACGCACATAATTTAAGCAATATTTCATTTATAAGTATAAAAATAAACCTTGCAACTTATCGTTCACTTAAACAAACTTTTTAAACTAGTTTTGCTTCAACAATGGTTTTAAAAATGATGAAACGAAAACCCATTAATTTAAGCTTTTAGTACGTGGATTTCGTTATCCTGATATTGGAATATTAACAAAAACAATCTGGTACTATTCGTGACGAATAACAATGCGCAATAACCTTTGACAGTGACCTTTAGATCTTAGGTGATAATGACAGTATTTAAGCTTCAGTTGACTGATCGGGCGTTAGAGGACAACACTGGTAAACTGTAAACGAACAACTAAGATAATTTTTGTCAGCTGAATTTTGGTATTTGGATATTTTACGTGCACAAAAGCTTTTGTCTTAATGATACAGAATATGAGTTTTACATGATAAGCAATCTTGTCAAAGATGTTGGAAAGAGGATACAATCTTTGAGGGAAAATGTCAAAGGTTTATTTTATCAAATCATATAAATAAAGACACAAGTTAAGTAATTCGTAATAAGCCCATATTTATAACTCTAATATTATTGCCATGATTTACCGGGTATCATCGTTTAAACAATTACGACTTTTTTATGTTGTATAACGCCTTCACACTAATAGCTTTATAGAAAATACTTTCAATGTTTATGTATTTCGTTTCTTACAATATTTTCATCGCTTTAATTTGCAAAATGAAACTATTTAATTAATTAGTTGAAGCAAAGTGTCCGACATTGACATGTCCTGACAGCTCATGTGACGATGACTGGGTATCTTACAACGGGTCTTGCTCCTTGTTTGAGGCTACTCAGACACGCAATTTTGAAGATGCAAGAGTAAGTTTCATATTTAGACTTCCAGTAAGTAAAATTAATTGGTTAAAAAATCGTAAAATAATTTTCAAATAATAAAAGTTTTCAAAAATTAATAAACGTTTATGCATAAGCTTTAGATACTACAATTCAAAACAAGTTTTGTTATTATAGCAATATCATTTTTGGTATCCGGGTGCACATTATTTGATTGCATATAAGTCAATAATTAAATGAATTTCTTGATGCAGCAACTATATGTATATAGTATGTTATCATAGTATGTTTAGCAATAAAAGAATGCTCACTATACGTAATCACAATTTGAAATAAAGATGCACAAACATGACCAAAATAGCCATCTTTAGGAAATAACATGTTATAGATTTAAAGAAAATAGACATTTCAATATTTTAATTGATATTTCTAGCAAATACATAACTGCATAAAAAAGAAATATCCGGGGTTTAAAAAGATAATGAGCCGTAAAAAAACTTGTTTTAATATTTCGCGTCAATTTTCCAAATTTTCGAAGAGTATAACCATTTCCACAATGATTTTAACATTAAACTATGACCTATAAACTATTGCCACAATTTTTTTAGGGAGAGGAAATTTGTAAACTATAATTTACTGGCTATGTACTTGTATTTTTTAATCTTAGGTCATTTGAAAATTTTACCGAACCGCCACAGTAAGCATGTATTTTCCATAAAGCTAAGTCATTGAACTGTGTGAATTTTATGGCTTTACTGTGGTGATAGTAATGAGCTTAAAAATGACCAATGAAAATCCTGCCTGTTATTCAGTATTATCCTATGTGTTTAACAAATTGAAGTCAGGTTGAAATTAGACAGCCTCTGGGAGACAAATAGAAAACCAATAATGCATAAAAATCATTCGTTTTCAGATATTCTGTAAGCAAAAGGCATCTGTCATTTTGTATGTACAAGATGAAGCGGAAAATTCCTTTATCGTTAGAACTCTTAGCTATTTCTTTTCCATAGAAAAATAATTAATTTAATATAGTTTTTCATGTATTGTTATAGATACATTTTTATACACAAGTAATATGTAAAAGAGGAACATTTAAACACTACAGAGTATATTTTTAGTGTTTAAATTGATTGTATTGAAAACTAAATTTTCATCTAAAAATCGTTGCATCAAACTGTAAATAGGCCGCTATTGCTGATACGACTTTTACAACTCTCAGAGGATAAATAACTGACTTTGAACCAATCAAAGATACCAAAGATACCAATAATCAGAATGCAATATTACTCTCTCGTCTGTAAACACTTATGCTTTCGCCATAAAAAAGCAAAATTGAATGGAATTTAACATTACGAAGAACCCTTACAGAATGCAATAATTCATAAGTTTTACGATAGTGAAATTGTGTACATGATCCACAAATGTTAATGAAAAAATATTATATGTATTGGATAAATTCTACCAAGTTGTTTCCGTACACCTTTTATGTAATGATTCATGTAATAATAGTTATATTTTGCCTTCATGATGTACAGAATACTTAAAAACATATTCAGAAGTTAGATAAACAAAACATTGTTATAGCTTTTGCACCTTTCACATAGCCACAATTGATTGGTTTATGGGATTAAATGACAAGAGATTTGAAGGAAATTGGAAATGGACAGATACAAATGCGCCTGCCAATTTTATAAAATGGGCTACTGGTGAGTATTGTATTAATTATGTATGAATGCATAATCATATTAATATTAAAAACTACAATTTGCATTTATCAAGTATTTTGTTCTTTTGGTATCTTCTTACGTCGGTTTTAGGGGTTGTAAAAATTACTGTGTTGCATACTCTTTCAACCCATCAGATCTTTACTGTGTCTATATTACTCTCTCTTTAGGAAAAAAAGATCTCTTACATTGCATTTGCTTAAGGATTTTACATCACACCGTAATTGCTCGGCAAGTTATGGACCCATCTTGCAAACTTGCTGATTATCATTATCACCTCAGTGCATTAATTATACTGAAAAATGAGGTTTACTCGTTACCCTAGCTTAGGATAATGAAGTTTGAGTAATCGGGTATAAAGTGTTATTAGAGCATGACAACATTTGTACGTCTAAATATATTGATGACACGGAAAACAAATATATATATATATATATATATATATATATATATATATATATATATATATATATATATATATATATATATATATATATATATATATATATATATATATATATATATATATATGACTTGTACAATCAATAAATCATATCTCGTTCAGGCCTCTGTTAATGCAAGTGTACCAAATGACTAAGAATAGTCACAATAGTTACATAGGTAACAGTATAAAATCTGGTCACGTGGTCTTTTTGCGAAATAAAATGGAATAAAAACGTCGCCATTTTTTTTCGTTCATTCTTATTTTCGACGTTTAACCCCGATAGGACATCAACATCTCTGGAGTAAATATGACACCCATAATATTTAGTTGTTCGTACCCTGGTGTTCTTTTCGTGTATAAAATATCTTTTTGTTGAATAGTCAAAAAGTAAACATCCGTTTTCAACGGAAGTAATTGCAATGTATATAATTATGTGTCAAACTGGAACATGCAGACGATTTAAGCATGCAACAAAGGTTTATTTAACAATTTTAATAAGTGAAAAGTGACAGATATGCTGGACAGACATAGGATATCATCGTTATTTTGTCAAAAAGCATGCGAAGAATATTCTGGAAACAGAAGGATCAGATTTCACAGATCATAACCGTATAAATGGGTTGGTGTTTTGTATTCTAAATAAAACACAGCTTAGTGTATGTTTATTAGTTTAACTAGTATATATCATCACTTGCTTAAAGAATAAAAGAAAAATAAAACTTCTCAAGTAGGCCTAAAACACTTAAAACTTAAAAGGTAAGTTGTTACTGTTGGTTTATTTTATAACAGTTAGATTTAGATGACAATTTCAGATCATCACAGTATTTTTGTTCGGGGTAATAAAATAACTAACATATGGGTTTGAGAGTAACAGTAAAAATATCATCCCTTATATAAAAAATACGCATCGGGTAACAGTATTTTCCTCAGTTGATACTTTTAATGTTACCCACAAACCAATGTGTTATTTAAATACTGTTACTGTGAATAATATGTTAAGTGAAAATATAACAAAAGTATAATGAATGATTTTCTGACTTTTATGACACTGTATGAATAGTGCTATCATAATTAAAATTATAATGATTTGTATTGTTATTGTATTCTATTGTGATGCGTTGTATTGTATTTCGTTTTATTGTATTGTATTGTAATGTATCAAATATTTTATAATTTTTTTACAGGAGAACCGTTTTGATATTTCTTCATACTATGTTTTCACAGTATGCACATTATTGGTTTCAGTTAATGAATTATTCATTTTTCAATCAAATAACAAAATGAAAATGAAAAAGTTTATGATTATACAAAAGTGTCATAATTATACAAAAGCATTATAATTATACAAAAGTATTATAATTATACAACATGAATCAGGGCAACCTGATGGTATCACACGACAGAACTGTGTTGTATACCATGTGAAGAATAACAATCGCTGGCATGATACAGAATGTGAAAGTAAATGTTCGGTCATTTGCAAGGTAAGATAATAATTATCATTTATAGTTCATAAAACTTTTATTTTCTATGTATTAATAATTTGGTTTTCTGCTGCATAGCACGTTAATATTGTTGATAAATAATGAGATCTGAATTTAATTGCTTTTACGTTCACTGTTTAACAAGACGACATTAATGATTATTGTGTACATGTATCTGTATATGATACTAATTAATAATTTAAAAGTATGTTACCAATATTTGATTCCTTTTTGCAAAATATTCAAGGGTTATTTATGTAATAGAGACATTCTGTTTTATTTCAGAAAAATAATCAACGAATAAATTGAACTACATTCATTCTCAATAACATCAATGTGTTTCTTCGAACTCTGTCACCGATATAGAGCAATGTAAGATACATGTACACACTTTTAACTTTTGGATAAAGCCTCCTTTGATACATAAAAAACATTTTTCAATCTTGTTCATGTATCAAAATATTGAGGCGATTTTATAATACGTTTAAGAATGTAAATCTATTTACAATCATAAGATATATAAATGCTTTTCGTCATGCTATATATAGACTACTCTTTTAATCCACTTTTCAGTCACAATTAATTAACACATTTACATGAGAACGTAACATAATAACATACGATTACTAATTATATATGCACTTACTTACGGATCCATGAATTACCAAAGCTAGACAAAAATAATGTTTGCAGTTTTTTGAAAATCTACATTTTAGGCTATGTAATAAAAAGAAGTATATTCCGAAATGTTGTTTCTTTTCTTTTAGCTTTTGTGTTGCCACCACGGAGTAGTGCCGACATGTAGTAATAACTTCTCCATCGACTGCCCGTCCGTCTGTCTGCCCGTCACGAAAATTGTCCGGTCTACTCCTCATAAACAACCGATACAATTTCATCCAACATTTACGGGAATGATAAGTACCAAGTCTAGTTATGCATATTTTTGGGCCAGTTATGACCCTCGAATAATAGAGGTGAAAATAAAGTTGTCCGGAATACTCCTCTCACACCACTGATGCAATTTCAATGAAACTTTACAGAATGTATTGGCATGTCAATTTCTTATGCTTAATACACAAATCTTAATATTTTGCCTGAATTACTTTTAGCTATTGCCCTTGAAATTTGTCCGGATTACTTCTGTTATACCACTAATACATTTTTAATGAATCTTTATAGGATTGTGCATTTTACACAGGTTTTTAGATTGAATGACTTTTTGCCGAGATATGACTATCATATGAGGTGACACATATCTCATCACTGATGGCCCTCGTTAATAATAATCAAAGATTCGTTTGGGTAATAAAGAAACTCCACGATGGGTAGATTAGTTTGTATCAAAATATTTCTATTGAGCTAGCAACAGTCAGATCCGACTGCCCGGATGTGCATGTTGGTCTTGCTGTATGTTTGTAGCAAAAGCTTCGAACTTTCATTTCTAGCAGGCTATGGTTAAAAAGAATGAAAGATTCTTGTATCTTATTTAAAAACTTATCATTTCGTGTTACATAAACTCAAAACTGTCAATATTACAATGTACTTGTTTTCATAACATAAGTCGTGACACAAATGTTACATGACCGAAAAAGAATGGTATTTGATGGAACATAACACGGAAAGTTGGACAGAGTGTTTTAAATTGAAGCAGAAGACACTATAATATGTTTGACTCGGACATTTTACAAAAGCTGGAAAAATATTTACATAATTCAAGTTGTGTACATGTTGCTTATAGTTCTCTGCATTAGAGCTACAAATTTATAACCACAAGGTCTATTACAATAATATTCGTTTAGTACTTTTTTCGCATATCATTATAAGCATAACGAAAGCATATCAAATGACATTCACTCTCTATATCACGTAAATGACCTAAGGCAATATGATTAACGTACTTGAACAGATTTGAAATGCTGGAAATTGATCAACGGGGCAACCGTTACAGCTACACGTGACCCCTGCTGCAATGAGTAAAACAATCTTAAAGGAAGAGAACAATGTAAGTAAAAATCATATGGTGAAATTACAGACACGTTTTGATTGTTTCTGTTCATGACAAATGATGGAATATGATATATGAAGATAATGATCCTGAAGGGCCAGATATATATTACAAAATTCGAAATAACAAAACTAATGAAGAACAAAATATAGCACTACTGGATTAGAAGACGCGAAACACAAATCTGAAAACGGCAGATTGAAATAAATGCCGGCACTGTTTGATTGAATCTGTTTCTGGTAGTCATTAAAAAGTTATTGAGTCAACAACTCTAAAAGTTATTCATTATATACATATGTATAATTTAGTCTCAAGTAAATATAGATGTCAACCCATTAAAACTAAATAAATATATTCGCCTCTGACTGACTTCTGCGTAGGTATGTTGTAATTGAAATAAACATTACATACGCACCTTATTTGATGTCAATTAAAACTGGTGTGTGTCACATTTGTCTTTGTCATCTTCTAATTCAGAAGTGCTATATGTTAGATTCTCTTTCAACTTTCAACTTTCATAATCTATTCCGACGAAATTACCGGTTATAACACCAAGAAGGCAGTCGACGGATGCTATTTCTAATATATCTATTAGATATGAAGAATTCAACAACTTCTCATATTCATCAATTTTAGACGATACAGAGTGTATTGTAGAAAAAAGTAACATTTATAGAAATATACTCACTCTAATACTGAACTTACAGGTATTTTTGGAGGTTTTCTTTTTCAAAATTAATGTTTAAGCAGATATATAGCTTTTTACACTTAAACATCAATATTTCCAATGAACATCTCACAAAACAACTGCAACTGACCTTATTTGCTATTAAGATAATTAGATAAATACTCAGTGTCTATCCTATGTAAGAAATCATCCCATTTTTTTATTTATGTCCAGTTCATAAAATAATATAATTCTATCATGTTTGAATCTCTGAAAAACCGGGGATCAGTAGATAGATAGATACATTTTTTTCCTCCAAAGATGAAGAGCATAACAGTATTTACAGAGTAACAATATAAGTATAATACAATTTTTATATTATGTAATAACACCATAGCAGAAACAAAAATCATAAATTGTGGGATTTAAATTGCTTGTAAATATATAATTGATATTATTAAAACTTTCATTCTATGACAAAAATAATTCACAGCTGTTCTCTATTATTTATCGATCTTTTATCTAACAACTAAAATGTAGAAGAAAAATGGCAACTACAAGTGTATCCTTAAAATGATTATAAGCATTTCTCCTTTGTATAGCTTTGTATACCTGTTTTCCGTCCAAGTAGTACACATACACCTTCGAGGAATTTTCTTTTGCAAAGTGGATGCATTCTCGAAGCATTAAAGAAGTCATTAAACATTCAAGACACAGCTGAAAAGCACATTTCTATGTCTCTATCCTCATTTTGTCGCACTTTCTTATTATAAAAACAATAACGAAAATAAAATGGCTTTTTGTAAGCTTATTAAATCATATGGGATCCACGGGAAAAAAAACTTATACTCAATTTCCGTAAATCGTTCTCATAGAAAATAACCGTGTGTTAATGATTTGGGGGTAACAATTCAAATACGTTTTATCAAATGAATAGTTTTCTTTGATTTTTTTTCAACCTATCACACTCGAAAAAAGATTCGCAAACATTATCATATACAGATAAATTTATCCAACAATAATCTGTTGCTGATTATGGTTCCTTCCTGTACAGTTTGTATTGCAATAATCCTCCTGACAGCATTCTGTGCAGACTGGAACTGACCTCTGGTTGAAGGGGTTCAAGCTTCGGTGTTCTATAGCACAATCCTGAAATAACATATTATGTATCATAAAGAAAGAACCAGTTTTATAAACAAATTTCAGAACAATTGAAAGATCTTTCTTATAAGCTGATAGGTACTATTTCCATGTGACAAAAGTAGAGGATAAATGCGCGGCTTATCTTCTTACATGACTAATTTGTAATATCTGACGGAAAGAAACGGAATTTACTCAGCTGTATAATTATTGTTTTTGACATTTTTTTGTTCAAAGGATTGATACATACTGGTGAGATTAAAGAATATAATTATATTAAATTATTAATGTAGTAACAAGTGGAGGCAGCCAAAATGCATTGCTTATATCGGCTTGATACTGTAAAAATATGCATATATTCTCCGTCTGACAAATACAAAATTTCTCTACATACATTGACTGACGCGCATCCAAGGTGAAATATTGAATTGTTTCCCCATTGAAACTCTTCGATGCGGCATACCTAAAACAGAAAATGAAAAATTTTGATTACCTTACCATATCCTATTGAATGCAAACTTTTTAACTTTTTTATCAAGTAATATTATCTAAACATGAATTAAAGTGTGTTACAATGACAGTTAAAATATACGCCTTAAATTTCTGTATAAAGCTCATGTTACTTAATTAAAAATTAATTTACTCACAAATGTATACCAAGTTCATATTGTATTAATAAAACTCTTATCATTTGATAATAAAACTAGGAAATAAATGTAAGCAAACCTCATTCGAGGAGCAGATAGTTATTTTGTCACATTTTTTTGGGTCACTCACGTGCGAACAGTCGAGACAAAGAGGGCCTCGTGATTGCTCTGGCGGGAAACCTGTTAAAGTTAAATAATCGATTTTTTATAATAAAGAAGTCCTGAAGGTTATATAATTTGATATGTTTGTACAAAATTTTGTATTTTGCTAACTCTAGCTCAATAACGACAATTCAGTGCAAGTAGACATTTTTGGAATTTGGAATTTCATTGGCCAGGCATGTGTTGTGTATAAATAATTCAGTTACAAAAAGAGGTGCTATTACCAGGTACCCACGTTAGCACCGTGCTCTCCCGTGAATTGGAAAATTATACAGCGGTAAGTGTGTTTATTCTTTTACGCATAAATATACCTTAATATAATATCATACGTCCAATTGTATGACATTATTTTACAGTATATTCATGCCATTATCGGGTTCATTTATCTGGATTAGCAGTATACATTTATCCCTCCATAAAATTTATAAGTTAATTATACCATTATCTCCACATCCATGTGAGTTACAGAAATCACCATCACAACATTGTAGACATGTCCCCTTAGAACTGCTCCCATGCTCGTTCAGATGACAGGTCTGTGATTTATATTTATTCAATGAAAAAAATTAATTACTTATTTTGGCTTTAATGTTCGTAAAGAAGATGACTTCTTTTTATTTTATTTTTAATAATGCTTCACAGCGTGTAATTTTAACAACAACTGAAGCACATTGGAAAGAAACCCCTAAAAGATCAATTTTGTTAAACATTGCGCATCATCAGATAATTTTTTCTACCCAACTGTTTGAACTGTTCTTACAGCCAATTGGTTTGTTGTTTAACAGTGTCATCTTTTTTAAAATTAGAATAAATCTAAAAATTACAAAATTATATAAATAAAATGTGTACTCTGCAACGTCGAATAAATTAGTTTCTTTTTTTACCTGAAAGTCTGTACATCCAGATCTTTAGTGAGTGTGCGCATTTAGATTTGTAAAACATGCCTGAAATTTATAGAAAAGGAAGAAAAATTATCCGACGCATAATACATTAGCTGTCTTAGCATTTTGTATCATTTTCAATTATTGATTCTTACATGATTTTTTTCAAGTGCTTATACGCTTACCGTCGAAATTTTGGTGTGGTGCTTTGTTTCGTTTCTGTGTTGTTATTAAAATAACCGCGAATCATAGACAACGTGCTTCTCAAAAAAATTTCGGGCAACATAAATTTTCATGCCCACATTGTTTCAAATAAATAAAAGTACGTATTACAATCCGACTTCTCAATTTTTTCAATTTAAAATCCCTAGATATTCATTTTTGGGAATGGAAGGTTTTCAGTTATTTTTCTTACCTGATTATCAGAACATGCAATAATTTCGTCACAGTAAGAAAGTCCAGAAGTGTAATCATAAGAAAAACTTGTGGATGGAGCTGAAAGATATAAATAAACCGAAAATTTATCCATGAATTACTTTGCATACAATATTTCACGTATCGCAATAAAATTAATGTATCAAAGCACCTGGTAAAAGGAGAGGCAGCTTTTTCTCCATTTGTTTTTTTATGTTTTCTGTCATACAGATACAAAGGTGATAAAACCCCGGTCGGAACGTGTTCGAGTCTACAGCGGTGAGGTGTCAAGTGTTTTAGGTCATTAGCCCAAATCACTTTGCCACGGATTATGCATAAGTACCGAATATTTAGCATCTGCAGCTGGGTGACTGAGATTGTAATTAACGCTTGGCAAGTTCATAAATATGATTCTGAAGAAATATAAAAAACAAAATTTGTATCAGAGTAACCAACGTCCCCCGCCTCGGGGAAATTTTATATGAAACGTAAGAGTGTGCTATTTCAAACGATTGAGGTATGGATCTCAGGTTTTTCCGTCCAAAATTATGATCAATGCTAGATCTGCAAATGCAACAATAATTTTTTCAAAGAAATAAAATGAAAGACGGAATTTAAAAATCTATCATGTTAAGCTTTGATCTCTAAGTGTGACCTTCACCTTGGAGGTAGGGGTGCAGGTGTTGTGCATGACATATCCTCATATTATTGTAACTATTTGTGGCAAGTATTTTCAAAATCCTTTGAACTATTAATAAGTTAAGGATCGGACACAAATTATACCCTATTACGGACTATGTTGATCTTTGACCTTTAAGTGTGACCTTGGAGGAAGGGCCTGATATATTGTCTTATTATTGTGATTATTTGCACAAAATATTTTTTTAAATCCTTTGATATATGGAAAAAGTATGGACAGGAACAAAATATACCCTATAACAGAATATGTTAATATGTTACCTCTAACTGTGACCTTGATCTTGGAGGTAGGTACACAGGTCTTACGCATGACATATCATCTTATCATTGTGAATATTTGTGCCAAGTATAGTAAAAATCACTTAATCTATGAAGAAGTTATGTACGGGTCACAAAATATACCATATAACAGACTCTGTTAACCTTTGACCTCTTAGTGTAACGTTGACCTTGGATGTAGGGTGCAGGTGTTGTACTTGACATATCCTCTTATTGTGATAATCTGTGCCAAGTTATTTTAAAATCGAAGAAGTTCTAGATCGGACACAAAATATAACCTTAAACAGACTAATGTTAATTTTTGATCTCTAAATGTGACCTTGAACTTGGAGATATGGATGTAGGTGTGCGCATGACTCATCGTCTTATTATAGTGCCTTTTTGTGGCAAGTATTTACAAAATCCTTTGATCTATAAAAAGTTATGGACCGGACACAAAATTCACTCTTTAACAGACCTTGACCTTGGGGTAAGTGACTGGTTCTTGAGCATGACACATCGTCTCTTATTGTAAACAATTGTCAAAAATCCCTTTAAAGAAAGGAAAATTATGGACTGGACACGAAATTAACCCTTAAATAGACAATTTTGTACAATTGAATAAATGCAGCCTTGACCCTGGAGGTATAATATACTTACTTTCTTACTTACTAACTAACTAATTTACTTAATTACTTACTTACTTGCTTGCTTGCTTGCTTGCTTGCTTACTTACTTACTTACTTACTTTACTTACTTTACTTACTTTACTTACTTTACTTACTTTACTTACTTTACCTACTTTACTTACTTACTTACTTACTTACTTACTTACTTACTTACTTACTTACTTACTTGAAAGAAGAAATTTCACACTTTTTGTAATCCATTAATTACAATCAACACCTTTGATGACTGTTAGTTTGGGTAGCAACATTTTTTTTCATCATACCACTTGTACAATTCCAAAATGAATTTGACTTCATTAGAATCCATGTTTTTTTTTCCATTTGTGCACATCTATTAAGTTTCAAGTGTGATTGAGATTTTCAAATTGGTGAACTGTTTTTACTATTTTCAAACCAACAGCAATTATCTTAGTTTATAATTCAATTTCCCATTGTCTACTGATACCTTTGATGTTTTATTATAATAACTGTCCTGATGAAGTTGTAAATAAATTTACATACCTCGGTATTGTGTTCACTACTGAAAGGTTCTTTTTCAGAAGCACAAAACCCACTCTCGGGTCAAGCGCAAAAGCTATATTTAAAATGAACAAGTACTTATATAAAACAAATATCTCTGTGCAACATAGATTATAACTATTTGACAAATTAGTATGACCAATCTTGAATTATAGCTGCGAAGTGTGGGGTTTTATGCACGGTAATGCTATAGAAAGGACTCATTTGTCATTTTGTAAACAGCTACTTGGAGTTAAAAATCAACACATAATGATTTCATATGCGGTGACTGGCAGACTTTTACTTCAGTCATTACGTAATTTCAGTGGACAAAAATTATAGTGACAAATGAAAGCAAATATACAGCAAAGGTATATCTATTGTTGAAAAATGATTAAGATAAATTTCCTAATAAGAAAAACTGGTGTTCGTTGGTAAGAGATTTATTATGTTACCTTGGCCTGATTTTATAAAATTGTCGGAAACGTAAATGTATTTCTTAGTTTAGTTTAACAAAGAATTAAATATCAATTTATTCAAAATTGGACTGGTAGACTAAATTATTCATCTAGAGCTTTATTTTACAGATGTATTGCAAGAAAATCCTGTACTAGTTTCACAAAACTGCGATGCTCCTTGCATAGATTATGATGGGCAAGACCTACCAGTGTACATATAAATGAACGCAAATGCACATTCTGCGATGTGTTAGAAGATGAATTCCATTTTTTATTACAATGTAGAATGTTCTCTCAATTAAGAACACAATATATTCCAATTTGTTACTGGAGATCTCCAAATATGTTTAAATTCACAGAATAAATGAATACTAAAAACCTATTGTTAATAAGAAAACTGAGCATATATATTTCAAAAGCATTCTTGATGCGCTCAGATATTTTATATGGAGCTGATTACTATGTTATTGACTTTCATATCTGTCTATACTTTTATTAAGGCTACAGCGTTTCCCTTATTATATCATTGTTCCAATTGACATATGTTAGTCATATGAATATGTGATATACCTTCTTTGTCAGTCATATAAATGTGTGATACATCCTAATAAGTATATGAGATATTTTTTACAGCTCAAATACATGTATATGTATATCTAGATGTTTTATTACAAGCAAACCTGCTGTTATCAAATTGTTTCTCCTCATATCTTGTCATTGAAAAAGGGGAAATACATAAGTAAACATGCATCTTTAGACTATAGTGCAATTTAACGGGTGTCTAATCTTGTATTTCGCTTTTGAGCATGCCCCGAAACTTTCAAATCTATTCTTCATAGTAACGCCATATACATTCGTTTGGACAATGCAAATAAACATAGCGGTTTAATCCATTTCATAAGGATATCACAGATAATCAAGTTAATCAAAATTGTTTGGACAATACACATTTATATACAAATTTGTTCCATTTTATTAGATAACTGATGTTAATTATGTTAAGAAATTATATTGTATGTCAATATATTGTTAAAACTATAGTGCGGCGGATGTTACATAACTCGATATACAGGTAGAGCGATAAGACCATAGGTGTTACGAGCCAGGCGTAACTAGAAAGAAAAGCCAGCAACAAACTTGTAACAATATAACAAATTTATTACAGAAAAATATTAAAGAAAAATAAAATAACAAATTACTTTACAAATACCTGAAGTCCAAATAAAAGTGAAAATCTTAAATGTCTAGTCTGATCCTGGAATGATCCTTTTTGAATAACACAGTTAAATCCAAGTTAAATCCAAGAACACTTTAGAATAAATTCCCACAATAAAATCCACAAGAATAATTTATTTTAAAATCCAAGCTCCAATAAATCACTTTATATCCAAGTTGAAAAATACTCCAAATATATTGATTTCTAAAAGATCACTGATGACTTAAAAGGTAAAGGTAATGAAAAATGTCAATCTATATATATTAACTAAGAAGTTTCTAGAATAGTCTTCCATTTACTACAGTAATCATAATCTAGCAACTTCACCAATAAAGATCATTCCAGAAATTTTCTATCTAAATATAATGCATGAGTTTTCTACAATAGTTAAGAACGTTCTAGTACATACATGTAGTTTATGTTCTAAAAATAGAACAATGATAATATTGGAAATACCAACTGGTCATATATAAATTATATACATGTAATAAGTTGCATACATAACACTTCCCCTCTTCAAGAAAAGAAATATGAATGAAATGAATATTTCTTTTACATAAATCCAAACAATGTAACTTACAAATAATATAG